GCATCCTAAAGGGCGCTGGTATTTTTTTGAAAGCTGCTGGTGCCAGGTAGAAAAATCGCCTATTGCTTTATCTGCGGAAATAGTCTCCTTTCACAAAGTTGAGCTGCGCTAAAGCGAAATCGTTACGTTAGTTTCTTAAGGAGATAGTTTGTATTGATGTTATAGCTCTTCCAGAAGGAAGGGGTTGTGCTGTGTACAGGGTCAACCGTCACGTTGGACAAATTTCGAAAATTTTACGCTCCCCCCCTGGAGGGCCTCGATACGACCCCCCAGGGTCAACCCTACCGTTGGTACTTTTTGGAAATTTTTCACGACCCCCTCCACCACCATGAGACTCAGGAGGTCCACCAATAACGACCACCACCCTTACCATCAGAGCTGTTACTATAGTATTTGATTCTGAGACCAGTTGACACAGCCCAACTCCACCCACATTTCCTCCAAAATAGCCGTCGAGCGGAGTATATATCAACAGTGAACGGCAATTTTTTTCTCACAAAGCGTAAAGCGTCACACTACGACCCCCCCCCTTTTCAACAGCCGAATACGATCCCCGCCCTCGTTGGACTTTGCCCAGCAGACTGTTGAACCTGGCTGTGTACCAGCTTGAGTCCCCTCTCACGCATAGCTCACATGTCGCTAGCCAACATTTCTTGATGTGCACTTTGGAGATATCAGCGTCGCAAAAGAACAACAAATAGATGAAAGCAGACAGATCCAAGATTCCTTGAATCACTAGCAACAACAGTCACATGTTTAAGATTCCGGCGCTGAGCAAGAACGTGCAGCACGTACAATGACTCAGTGAAGCTACGGCTTCCATGACGCTGTCATTAGTGACACAGCTTAATAAAAAGTAGTAATGCAAAGACATTCACCGGTAAAAAAATCAGAGGTAACAAAGGTTCGATCAAAAAGTTAAACCAATCAAAGACCTTTCTTCAATTAAGGTAAATTAAAGTGAAGGTCAAAGATCGGGCAAAGAGTATGTAGCACATGGATTTATTCACACGAAATGAAAGAATTGTATAGCTTCAGTAAATAATTTAATAAACGGCATACTGAGACCAGATAAACGCGATATAAACGAAAGCAACAGCTAATTATTGCATGGCGTAATCTAGAAGTTTACAATGTGAAGTAGCGACCCTTCCGGCCGCGTAATGATGCGTGACGCGATGCTAAAAACTGGTTCTACGTAAGCGATAAATGCTGATGGTGATGATAGCGACAATCGAGTCAAGTTTCCATATCAACAACACTTCTGTCGTTTGTTGTTGGCCTGTCTCAGAGTTGGACAAATTGATAGATGTTCCCCTACAAGAGACAATGAGGATGCCAGAGACGCAGACATCACAGAGGATAGGTCGTACATGTGCGCCTGGGTGTCATGGGAATCGGTGAAGGAAAAGGGAGTTCCTGCTCCTAATTTTTGTCACACTAGTGCTCTGCTGTGCATTTTCAAACCTGTGGAATTCTGACGATCGGCTGAACTAAGGGTGTGAAGAACCAGAGCCCTCGTCCGTAGCTGGCTTTCCATCGCGATTGCTTTGTACTTCGTTAATCAGCGCCACAGTCAAAGAATGAGCACATAAGGAAGGATCAAGCATGAGGCTTCAAGGAATTTGAGGGGGCTTTTTTTTGAATGCGATCTCCTTTCTCATTATGATTCATCTCCTGTTGTCTTTACATTCCCTTCCACCTCACTCTTAATTCTCTCTCTTTGCCCCAGTAAAGTCCTGAGAAACAGTTGTTATTCACTTCCTACCATGATTGTTCTTCCATGTTGCAGATTTCAACGTGATTGAAGGGGGGAGGGGAGGGGGGGGGGGGAGTGTGTTCAAAATTCGGAGAGTCGTATTTGTGTTAATCTATTTGTTTGCTTCTAGTCTTTATCTTGGTCATTGTAAGCTGGCAGCATTTGACTTTTTAGAGGGGAAGTCTGGTTATGGAAGTTAAGGTTCATGTTGTAGTGGAGGGAAGCAAGGTGTTGGTCTCGAAGGAGGTGGGGGGGGGGGGAGACACAAGTTTCCTGAAAAATGTGTGGCATGGACAAAATTAAAGTATTTGCAGTTTCTGGTTATTACCCCTGTTTCCCGATGGTAATTCTGGAAGAAACTTTAGGATGGAGGACTGGAGAGGGTCACCTGGTCTTGGAACAAGATATGTACAGGATGGGCAAAAACTACGGTAGCAAGATAAACGGGTCATAACAAACTATGTGGCAGAATAGTCCGGAATTAACAACGATGGGAGTGCCTTTAAGAGGAGCGCTCATGAACATTCCAAAACAGGCACAGGGGACGGTTGACCCAGTTCTCTACAAAACCTCTGCTTTTGAAAACGCGCATTTCAGGCTTAGCAATTGAGTACAATCCATTCATGATAACTGTTTCACTACACTTTAGCGCATTTGCCCGGTAAGCAAGAAGTGCAGGTTCGAGTCCCGTCTGGGGCGGATGTTTTGTTCACAACCCAGCATTCTTGTATTGAACTACAATTTATCGTCTTGGTTTCTTTCGCGGGAGTGAGCAGTGTTCCGAAGCCATTCACAGTGTTTACAGTAAACAAACAGTGAATCGAAAACGAAAAACCCCCACCCCGACAGAAAAATATCGACCAAAAATGAAAGTGATCTTGTGGCCTTTCACAGTCACATAGACGACTTCTGTAAGTTACAGTAGTTGGAAACGAGGTGCTCTAGTAAGTATCACGGAAGACGTTATGAACATTGGTTCACAGCTTTGTAACTCTGAGGAGGGTGAGGCAATTCACTTGTGCAACAGGAACTGGGTGAGTTTTGGCTCTTTCTGACCGCCCTTACCAAAGAAAAATTGCTCGTCATGATCCAAATGTCTTGGGCTCTGCACCAGAATGCACCCTCATACTACATGAACGCCGAAAATCAGTAGAATAAGTTCGGAGAGGTGGAGCAGCGAGAAAGATTCCATTATGTCGGTGCTGTTTGGCTGGTCACATCAGTCGCATTGTGGTCATGTACGTCGACAGATCATAAAATCATCTCGCGATTCTTATTTTCTCTCATCATCACCACTGCTGTATGCTTACCCATTGAGAACACTCGGGCTGTGGTCGCCTCTTGTCTAGGAATGGAAAAGCGCACGCGATAGTGGGACATTATTGACATGGTAATCATTCACTTATTACGGAACTGAATCGGCTACTGTCATCACATTAGAGCGTCTGATCTTCCAAAGTTGAAAGATCACGAGATCATTTCTCAGCCGGTCATTCTCCATCATCACGTGTCGTTTGCAGAGCGTAAACGGAATCACTCAATCGTATTGTAATAGTAACCTGAAATTTTCCCATTCACAACTTCCCCCTATTTATCACGCCTGTCCACAAAAGGGTCTCAGGACATCTGTCAACCGTGAGCCTTGGCGGTTCAGCGTTTTGTAGTGATGTCTGGGAGCTCTCACAAGTGCACACTATCACAGCATCTCCTCTTTCTTTCTTCTTCAAAAGGCTTAGTCCCAATAAGACACAAAGTGTGTGCTTTTCCAGCTACGCTCTCACCCTTTGGTTGACAGAAGCCTTGTAACCCTACAAAAGAACGATTTAACATTTTTGTTGAATAGTTCCCAGCGTGACGACGTTGCACTGGAGCGCGCTGTTGAACAGGGAGCGCGCAATTCAACCGGAGCACGGGTACTGGCGTCCTTCAATCGGGACTGGGCCGGTTACAGTGGAACCATATTCAACCATTCTGAGATATCGTTTTTGTTTGTCCACCAGGGTCTGGGTAATGCAGAACAAAAAGGATCGTCCTTATCATATTTGAAGGAAGGGAGGGGTGTTACGTCGTTTTAAATTGGTATTATGTTTTTGGACGTTTAGGGAATAGATTTTTTAAAGATTTGAAATGTCGTTGTTGTATACATTATTCATTCAAAGGCAAGCCCCGAGATAAAACCGGTGATAAGAGCGCTTCGTAATGATGGAGCTGCGGGACGGCCTGAAAGTGGAAAGGAAAGCTAGAGAATCTTTGGGATCGCTGAAATTAAGGCCTTAACCTTCAAAAAGGTCGGATGTGGAACGATGGCGAGGCAGGGCGGTCAAAGAAGACAAAACACGCGAGAGATCACGCCGATATCGAGGTGGGTGGGAAGCGTTGCAACGGGGGTCGATGGTTGCAGGCCCGTAAGGATTAGCGCCCTAACCGCGCAACTTTGCGGCGAAGCTGGAGTGATCTAGGTAGGTAGGGACCTTCACAATTTCCTCGCACAAGTCGGGCTAATCCCGCGGTTTGCCTTTAATAAAAATTTCTTTCTATTTTCACATTTGCACTGCTGTCCCGTTTCGGCGAAGTTCTGAAAAGTAGAAGATGTGCACTTGGTCTTCAGAAGTATTCCACCAAACAAACGACCGGGGGCTGGGGTTAACCTGGTACTCTTGGATACCCCCCCCCCCGCCCTCCCTCCCTGTCCCGTCACAATGTATTCACAAAACTATCCACTCACTACTCGTTGTTCAAAGTAATACCAAATTTACAGAATTTATAATGTCTAGAAAAAGTACATGAAACAATGAACTGCGTATCACAGAAAACGAAAACCTACGAAAGAGGCTCTCAACAGCTGAAAGAGTCGGAACAGTAACTATTTAGTGAATCAGTTAATCAATTGTCTTTGAAGCATCTATTTTCATGAAGGAAATGATATATAAGCGAACATCACTCATCTTTGAATATCCTATAAGTCTCATGGAAAAAGTAACGATTAGAGGATCAAAAAAGTTGATTTATAGTCCCAATTGACTTATCAATGGGGAGCGTGGAACGCGTGTGTGGAACGCTTGTGATTGGCTGATCAAGCGGCAACCAATAGTATAGTTTTGCTGCACTCGCAGCACGCTCCTACACGAAGCCTATAGGCAGATGCTCGAATTAATAGAGCTAGAAAACCTGAACTGAGATCGACAATTATTGCTGCCTGTGTGATTTTCACCCGCAATTACTCTAAAAGGTAAAATTACTTTGACTTATTGGTAGCTTTGCTAAACATAATCAAAACAAGAGCTATGGCAATGAGTATGAACAGAGTGACTGCCAGAAACGTGTAGACGACACAACGTGCGTCGCAGGTAGTCGGCTCCCAGCGCTGATGCTGCACAGAGTTGGTCGGCATTGGAAGATATTCTAGTCGTGTGTCGAGCGACAAACGAGCTAGAAGACTCGGCATACAATCGACAGCCTTCTCGTAAGCGTCACGACAATCCCAGCAGCGTCTTGACGGCTCAGCGGCACATTTGACGATCCTGACCACGAATTGAAGCTCATGAAATCTTTACAAGAAAAATCGATAAGAACGGTCATATAAATAAAGCCTTCAGAACGTTTATTTTGCTCTCAAATTAAATGTAACAGGAACTATACTGGTCATGTGCACAAGTTGCCCTCCATAGTACAATTTTCTCCCCATTGCCTTTAACCCAATCGTAGTCATCGTCACTATTCCGCGCAATAACTTTGTCACGCCATACATAGCCCTATTTGTGAGGAGCATACAGATACAGATATGTGATAGCTCACAGATACAGTCTTCTTGATAGAAATGGCGCGCTACAGGAGGATTCCACGACAAAGTCGAAGCTCGAAAAAGGGAAACAACCTAGTGGAAAAAGGTAGACACCCTGAAGATGCAGACTGTCACGCCTCGCAGTGAAGGTTTTGCCCCAGCGATCTACATAGCATAGCCCTCTCCGCGGCGTTATCGCCGCGGCACGCCCATAGACTGGCTAACCACTTGCCGCAGTCCTCTAATCGTTTAGGAGAGAGAGAAGAGTCAGTGTTGAAGAGGGCAGCACCGATGAGAGTCGCAGGGTTCTGTGATATTTCTCATGCTTTTTTCTTCATCTTGGCACCACAGACCACATCTACACTGACTTTGATGGGCTGCTTTCAAATCGTGAACTCCGCATTCTCTAATAGTTACGCCGCCCTGAACCCCCGCAAAAGCCTTGGGATTTTAGTCGCCCACTCGGTTGACGTTAGCGTCACCATCGCTTATGTTTTTCCTGGTATGCATGACTATGCAGACGTTTTCATATAATTTTCTTCACGTTTTCATATATTTTGAGCTCAAGCACGCAATGCGTGGAAAATAAAACGAAACACGAGACCATAGCGATGTCTCACCATTGAAGTGCTTTTCCGGCTCCTCTTCGCAACAGAAGTAACGTGTAGTTGCGCTTTGTGAATATGCCGGGAAAGTAGGGAATGAATGCTGAAAATGAAGCCTTTGAAGAGCTATGGAGGCACTGAATATGCTGAGCACGTGGGCGGAGACTTCCACACCATTGCGCGCTCCTCATTGGTGGTTTACGTGCTCATTTGAGGAACGCACCAATAGTGAGCAGCAAATGACACCAAATGCAGCCCTTGTAGTATGTCGTTTGTATATCGCTAAAAATGGCTAGCGAAACAAGTTAAAAAAAAGGAAAAAATCACCATGTTTTCTGATATCCGACGTGTACTCGCGACCAATAGCCGTTATAGGTGAGGTCGTTTTATTCAGAACATCGTCCAGATTTCTTGATAGGAATTCCAGGTCATCGTTCAGCCACAGCACCGTTTTGTATCGACTTAGTGCATCCTTGATGAAAAGTACAATTATGGTGTGTATTTTTTGGCTCACTGATTTCTGCTTAATGATGTAGTAATTTAATGCAAGATGTCTAATCGGTAGTTGTTTTGACTAGATTTTCTGCAAAAGAAAGGGACGAAAAAGGACGCAGGCAAGCACTTGGAAACTCCACATCTGGAGTTTCATCAGAACTACAAAAATGGACGAACACGCTTTTTACTGAGCACGATTCTTTCCACCGTCATATCGCATACGACAAAAACGTTCTATCAGTATGATGATTTGATTCCACTGTAATCCACGTGGTACTGGAGCACGCGATTCAACGGAGCACGAATCAGACCTCCTTGAAACGGAACTAAACCTGGAGCAATTCAGCACCCGGAGCAGTTCAGCGACTGCCCTTCCAGTGTCACACAAGTGAAACCGCGATATTCATTTAATTTTTTCACATGCCCCTGATTCTCCAAGCCAAGTCGAGGAGAGCAGGGATACATTTGTACGTTTCACACTAAGAGCTGAACTAAAAGCTTCAAAAGTACGTTCACCAAGGTGGGGAGAGGGGAAAGGCAGAAGCGGCATACACTGCTCTCGTTGCATTATTGAAACGGCAAATTTTGCCATTTCTATTTCCCTGAAGTTGGGAGACTTTTCAACTTCCTCAACGCATTTCCTTCCCCATGACTTCCACAAATTTATCCTAACTCAACTAATTTGTGGGATAATCCCCTTGACACCTTCTCGTCTGACTTGGCCGAACGGTTGGTTGCCCTGAATGGCACATTCACCCAATACCCAGTAGCAGTTATGAAAGACCCGAATTTTGAACGCTGAAGGCTTAGGCGAAAAATTCATCAACTCAACCTATTCATTTCAGTGATCTCCTCCCTAACCAAAACAAATTCTCGCCGCACTACTCTACATTTACAATTTGAGCAAGAACTTCAAACACATTGATCGCAGCCTGTTGTGCTTGTAACTCTGCATCTCTTTGTCTTTCATTTTCAGGATCGTCCTCCCTTCAACTAGTACTAATAAAAGGCACACCGCTTCGTGAACAAGATGTTAGCTTGCTATACGGAAATATGACGCGCGTGCGCGTCATGCTGTCGTCACCTCATTGAGGAGCTTCCATAACTGCTCCTTTTTCATCGGAATTGTTGCTTTTCTTCAGAATGAGAAACAGGGCATGAAAAACGTCGTGTATATACTTGAAACATCAAAGAACATCCTTTCAATGAGCCTTTAAGTAGAACCCTTTATGTACTGCTGGTTTGTGCCTGTCTGGTCTACTTATGCTATTGGACAGGCTACAATGAAGGCCCATTCTCAACCGTGTCGTAGGCTAACATTTGTCTTGATAGAATTCGGGATCATCTGAATCCGATCTCATTCTTTTTGAGAAGCTTTGAAACGCGTCCACCAGTGGGTTACAGTTACCTACGGTCTGGACTACGCAGGACTTCTCTGAGGCGAAACCACACCGCAACATCGGCTTCCAAAGTCATGTCAGAATTTAAAGGTATATGACATTTTGTACTATGTCTACAATAGCATAACATCCTGCATTGAAAGACTGTATAATCGCGAGTTGTTGAATAATTTTCCGCAGTTTTATTCAGCCCAGCGCTGGCGCGTTCCTACAGAAATTATGGCGGCTCTGACAATGGCACTGTAATGTGTTGCGAAGTGCAAACCGCACCGGTATGGACCAAAGTAGGGGAAAACATGCGATCCTTCTAGACAAGACATATGTTGAATCCAAAATACTAGAATTATGTTCAAGGCAATCTGAGTCGAGGATGGTCCATACGAGGAGCTAGGGGCTTTATCCAGGATCTGATAAATAAAATAACCAGTAGCCGAGGAAAAGTTATGACGTAAAGGTCTAGTTCTAGGCCCATTCGAAAATCAGTGTAGGTACGAGCTCACAGGAAAAAGGGGTTCCAATATCCAATGTCAAGCATGAAGGGCAAGCCTTCGGCATATGGGTCATTCAAAAGGCAGGCGTATGAAGCGCTTCATTGGAATTGAAGGTCATTTTTGTAGAGTGTCCGACAAAAAAGGTCATTTGTCCATGGCAGAAAATTACCAACAGATGTACCACCAGGCCATGCAGCCAGCTCTAATTGAAGCGGTGAGGCTACCGCAATCTTACATAGACTGTTAGCAATCAGTAACGAGAATTATTCTCCTAATCAGTGCTCACCGCAGCAGTGACCTTCCGTTAGAAAACAACGCCTGAATGGGAGGACAGCTTACAGGATGGGTCAACAATTCTGATTACAAATTACAGCAAGTTAAAAATTCTGCAAAAAAAACGGATTCCTTGAGCTCAAACTTTTGAGAATTATTACCTACGAACCCCCTACCTAACAGGATCAACCATTCGTTGGACAAAGTCCAACGGGAGGGGGTCGTATTCGGCCGACGAGAAGAAGGGGGGGGGTGTTTATTCGCAGGGTCGGAGGCAACGTCAATCGTACACCAACAGGAAGTCTCAGCGTGACCTTTACGCTTTGTGAGTGCTAAGAAAAAAATTTTGCCGTTCCACTGTTGATATATGCCCCAGCTCGACGGCTATTTTGGAGGAGATGTGGGTGGAGTTGGGCTGTGTCAACTGGTCTCAGAATCAAATACTATAGTAACAGCTCTGATGGTAAGGGTGGTGGTCGTTATTGGTGGACCTCCTGAGTCTCATGGTGGTGGAGGGGGGGTCGTATCGAGGCCCTCCAGAAGGGGGGGGGGGGTCGTAAAATCTTTGAAATTTGTCCAACGTCACGGCCTGCTACCTACTCCGTCTGGATTCCCTGTGCGATACACCTTGGCGTTACCGCAAGAGAGGAATACCTGAAAAACTTGGGTTTCTTGGAACAAGCGAAGCAGAAGCCTGGAACCATTTTGACAGGCCTTATCGTTAGTCGCGCGTCACCGCGACACTGCCTCCTCACCCCCCCCCCGTTCTTAAACTCTTAACGACCCTCGTAAACGAAGTAGCAGGCAGCTTCAATCTCAGTCTGGCTTTACTTCGGGATATGAGTGGCGAATAATTTCCTGGGGTTTGTTTGCTTCATCAGGTCACCATGCGTTTTTGATGAAATAATGTTTTCGTCTTCAATCTTTTGGCTCACCCTCTACATTCACTCCAAAGCCAATATTATGACTTTAGGCCGAGCGTGGCTTCCGTGGCGACATCAAAACGGCCCGCTGGTAGGTGACACCGGACTGAGCTTAGGAAGCGATGGAGAAAGCGAGTAATGACACAAAATTGCTCACGATTCTTCCGAATGTCTTGGCTCTCTAGGCCTACGTCCCAAGTACGGCAAGTGGCTCACTCACATGAATGTTGTTCTACTCACCCACATGAAGAGAACGTTAAATTGCGATTTGTCTGCATCATCAGAAAGGAATCTTGTAGCAGTGTCAACAGGATGCACTTCGACGTTCCGAACACTGACCAGCTTTTTCTGAAGCAACTCCTGAAAAGAAAATTTCAAATTCTTACTCCGAACACAGCAGGTAGCGCTTCTTGCTTTATCCCTTGACCGACTCATATAGATATGGATAAGAATAAGGTAGAACTTACATCACCAACGTCAGTGTCGTAGACGAGGATTTTTGTGTACGGGTAGTGCTTGTGTACGGATGCGATCAGAACCAGAAGTTTGTTCATAGCCGTGTGATCCGAGCTGAGTGCAAAGGCCATCTCTGCTTTTCTGAAAAATAACACTTCAAGTTCTGGAAACGTTTATACTTTCCCGCGCGCATAGCCGATCTTTTGATTGATTGGAGCCACGAAGTGCGGCACCATGTGCACCACCTAGACGAGAGATACTTTTTTCTCAAAACATGTTGAACTTTTTGATTTCTTGAGTCAAAAAGTGACATGTAGTAACCCAACAGTAATTCGAAGTTACTGAGTGCTATCGTTCGTTTCTATTCTATTTCTTCAAGTTCTTCTTGTTGTACACTTTTGATACGAAGAAACTTTTGCAAGCCAGAAGCACGACAATTTTCACTGATCCTGACAGGATAGAGTGGGGCAGGACCGACCGTCCATTGAGCCGGTTCAGATTCTCATGATGTCCCTCTTGGATCGGCTAGATACGACCCATCACTATCACCATCGATCTTACTTGTCACATCACCAGGACGGGAAAATACGACCCATCTTTACCCCAGATACTCCCCCCCCCCCACCTCGTCGGACATGCCACAACGAACCTGTTGACCCTGCTCCGAGGTGGAGAACGATTCCCCTGTGCAAAGAGGCAGTTAGTGAGAAGCTTCCACCCACAACGGAGGTTCTTCCCCTACCTCAGCCTACACAAAAATCCTCACTCTTCTGTCCTTCCTTGTGTGCTGTTCACCAAGCCCCCTCTCCTAGCGTTTATGAAGAGCGTCCACCCCATGTTTTCATCCCAAAACACTTTCCAAGAGATACGTACTGCTCTTGGTCCCATAACATGTCCTTGTGTATTTTTTACCAGAATTATTTAGCAAAAAAGCAGTTAGATGCTCATCCTGCACTATATGACGCATGTGTGGCCCCATGAGAAAGAACTTGGCGTGCTACACATGGTGCCGCATGCGGTTCGCAATGTGTTAAGACTACGTCATATGCCTCATGTGATAGATGGAATCCATGAGGAGCGCTGTTCAGAATGCGATCGCACCGTTCACCAGATGCCATTGGTGTAGAAATGCACGAAAAGCATTCGCCACATTGCAATGAATCAGCAGTGGCGTTGGTGGCGTCGGCAATGATGGCACGAGGATAGCAGTTGAGGCTTATCGCCGGCATCGTCGTCGTTTCACATCGACATTCCCCTTGAGTTCGACGCCATTCCACTGCGTGAGTCTCGTCCACATCCGTTTGATAGTAGTAGAACTAGAAGTGAGAATTTCATTATTAGTACACTTTGAGTCACTCAAACTTCAATCTGTCTTCACCAGAATTCACCGCATTATTTTTGAGGAATTACAACACCTTTTATGCGAGACTACACTCCATTCCCTTGAAACGAAACAGCAGGCGGCGCGCAATTGCTGTTGCGTGCGGATGCGTCGCGGCACCATGCGGTGTGCTGCAGGCATCACAGATGGGTTGAGTCGCAGTCATGACAAATAGGACTTCCACTTTTACAGTTATGGGATTGCACAATTGAGCGCACGGAAAATAAAAGCACTGTGCTGAACATCATTTGGCTCAGGGTCATCGTCACGTTGTGTCAATTCTAGAATTTTTAGCACCCCTTCTTCTCTCCACCTCCCTCATCCCCACCCCCTCCAACAGCCAATGTCGATGTCAGAATTCCTACGCCCCCGAAATTTTTTTCAAAATGAGGGGCGGAGATACATACAGGGATAAATACAGCGTCTGTACGGAAAATTCTTCATATCTCCGTCCATTTCAGACTATTTTTTCATCCTCACGAGTTCCTCTAAGAACCTTGAAAACGCCCCTTCCCACACCCCTTCTATCCGAAGATTGGAGATTCTGTCCTTCTCATTGGAAAGTTTCCAGTGGGCTATTGACTCTGGCTCGGTTCCAGTCTCGTTTAGTCACTGACTGACTTACGCTATATCGATATTGGGTATCGAGGGTCATGGCACGCTCTTGTACTTTCTTGTTTCATCGAAACGATATTAATTGATATAAAAGAGGAAATCGATGATGAATTTCTTGTTACTAAAGTTTAGGTCAAAAAAGTTAAAAATAAATCCAAAAATTGTCCAATTTTTAATGGAACTTGATCCATGAAAACGACGTGTAATAAGCATACTGAGTCACATTCAAAAAGGCGTCTCGAAGAGATATTGTGGTCTAGAATAATAATTTGGTGAAATTCTCCGAATTGATAGAAATTCCTCTACATTCAGCGCATTTGGTCGCCTTATTATTATGCACTTATTATACGAAACCAAAATAAATGAACGGCAAGGAAAAGAGTTCTCTGGCCATTTTCACATTTCATTACAATCTTTCGCGTATGCACCATGTGTTCATTAAAGTTTATGCATCATGGAGGGGGTTTAATGCGTGCAAACCAATGCGGTGAATCTGAAATGCTGGCCTCGAATGTGGATATTTCTGACCCCTGGGAGCGCATGAACTTTTAATTACGCTCTATTTCGGAAGACGAGAAGAGAGTCGAGTGCAGACCACACACCACAAGTGACGACGGCCGAAAAAAAAGTGATTTTTTCTAGCGCGTCGTTACTTATGGTGTGTGGTCTGCACTCGACGCTCTTCTCGTTTTCCGAAATAGGGGGTATCTCTTTCAAGAAAAAAATTATCACGCGGTTAAGAGGCGCTACGCTGAACGGCGGGGTCCGACCCCAGCATGACTAAATGAGCTTCCAATACCCCTGAGGGATAATCAACTCACTCTGATGGGACCCTTACTGAATAGGCTTTTGTCACCAGGTCCCTGTGCTCGTACCGGTCGGGGGGGGGGGGACATTCAAGTGAGTGAGTGACTCACAGCATTTGGGGACCAAGGTTCAGAGAAGGACAAGGTTTTGGAAGAGAATGTGGGCAATTTTTGTTCTCCCTGGAGTTCTTCCCCTCTCCAGGGCATAGTCCTAATGTCAACTACCTGCGGTTTCATATACCCTGTTTCAAATGTCCCCACGTCCCCTATGTGGCCCCATAAATTATTGCATAGATCGAATTTGTAGTAGCAGACCTATCTGATTGAAGTGAATGCAGGCAGGCCCTCGGAAGGATCTATTGAAAGAGGATCCAAATTTAGATCAAAGGGATGTTTATCTGTGGTTGGATCCATTGCGGAAAATGTTATATTTACATCGCACTAGACAATCAAAAGGAAAAGATCGAATCTCTAGAAGTACTTGCTAAGGGAACTGCTGAATTCTGTATGCGTTATTGCCCTTACCGTTTGCTTGAACCTAGAACGTCCGTTTCAGTTACTACATATTCTCTTGCAACATGCTGATGTGGTGTAGTGGCAATCGGCATCTTTACCCTTGTGCACGGTTAGAGTTCGTAGTGACCTAAGGCAAACCTTGCTCAAGCCAACCAAACACTCCATCCTTCCAAGGTCGGTGAATCGGTACCCATCTCTCAAAATACCGATAAATTGTTCCCTAGGGACAACCGCAGGCTTTCCTGGGGCATCAAACACTACCTGGCTCGCCGTAGATATCGACTACTAAGCGCTGTTTGCGCCTCTCCTTGCTCGTGAATCGCAAAGTCTGACACTAGCCCAACACTAATTCACCCCACAATACAGAGTATGGGTCAAGTCGCTCTCAAAAGACTCTTCGTACTGAATGGAAGTAAGATGCGTGACGCAATCCCAAAAGTGTAACCAGCCCTGCTTGCTTTATGGTTTCATGCTATTTTCATATTGTAGTAGCCCGCTAATGTGCATATTTTACTCAAACAGTACATAAATAAGCACTACGTCAATAAATAAATAATAAATAATAACAAAAAATAATAATAAATAAATAAATAAATAAATGCCCCAACGAGCATATGTGAATAAGAAATACATGAGTGATTAAACATAAAGGATAAAGGATAAAGCATTTGCCGTTGATCAATCCCTTTTTGGGATGCGGCACGCATTCTACTTCCATTTGTACATTCGTAGTGGCGTTTGAATGCGATGTGGCCTATACAATGACTTGCGGGGGCCAGCCGATGTACAAGTCAGTGTTTTTTATCCTCCCAGACAAGTCTGGTACCAATTAACCGACCCCGGAGGGATGGAAGGCTTGGTTGGCCCGGGCGACTCACGACCCAGGATTTGATCCCCGGACCGCTCGCGTGGTAAGCGCGCCACTTGTCACTACACCACTTCCGCCCTAGTGATTAAACATAGTAATAGTAATCTGTTTCTAGTTTTCGAATGCGTATTCGTACGTGAAGCTAGTTTATTTCCGAACCCTTCCTCCAAAGCTGATCGGTCATTAAATAAAGAACGGGGAAATATGCGTGTAGGAGGCACATTCGCCTGCAAAGTGAAAACATATGACAAATGCGTTTAATGGAAATGATAATGACGTAATTCTTAGTGATGACTGCTTGCTGTTTAGGGGCGAATGTTATGATGAGAAGGCACCTCATTAGAAATAAGGGTAGAGGTGGTCAGTGGTGCAGGGATGAAGAAAAAACCATTGAAACGGCCCAAAACCCGAGAAATGGGACCCCTTCCTTGCCCGTTGATTTCCGCATTGATGCGACTCTCATCGGTGCTGCCCTCTTCAACGCTAACGCTCTCTCTGCTAAACGGCTAGAGACCTGCGGCGAGTGGTTAGCCAGTCGGTGGGCGTGCCATGTCGATAGCGCCGCGGAAAGGGCCATGCTATGTCGCCGGGAGCTAAGCCTTCGCTGTGAATTGCGTGTCGGTCCGTATCCAAGGGGATCTTCACTTTTAGTTAATTATCCCTTCTTTTCCTTTCGACCGTGTCGTGGAACCCTCCTTAAGTTACTTCAAATTGTTCTCACCGATGCCAAAGTGCAGATCATAGACCATCGTGAATTTTCTTCCGATTTCCGACAAATCAGTTTTAAAAATTCCACTTGCTGCTAAGCCTTGATAGGTTATTATGAGGGTTGCTACAGTACCTCCCATAACTTTGTTAAAAAAAGACGCGGAAGACGCGGATCCGCGTCTTTTTCGTCTTTTTGCTATAATTTGATTTCTGATCGCTTTTCGACATGAAAAACTATACCATTAGACTCAGCTCGTCGAGTGCTATTAGAATGTCCTCTCAGATTTTAGAAAATTTCATTTTTCTATTCCAAAGTACCTGAGGCTACTCATTAGCGAGCGTCGCTCGCTATAATTACAGCCAGAGACAAACAGCTTCCACTAGTATTCAGCAAGCCTTTTCGCTTCTTTTTTGTTCTGGAATAGTATGAAAAAGTGACTAACGTGTTCTTCAGGTGATGCTGATCATTTTGATACCTGATATTCCCTATTTAAGTCAACTTTGTTGAAATCCATTTTTGGAACGAAGTTGCATCTTTGAAGCGAAAAATAAGGAGAATGGGCCAAACTATGACATTAGCTGAATAGAGCACCTCTTCTAATTAACCTACCCTGCTGATAGTAAGCTTTTCAAGTTCCTCTCTGCCACCAGCTGTCAATTTCGGGCCCTTGTTTGAGAGGAATTTTCACATTTTTTCATCGAAAGGAAACCTCCCAAAAGTTATATCATTCGAATACTCATCGAAAACACTATGTAATGATATAAAGGGTGAGTCAGGAATTTTCTCATTATTATTTCAACCTTTGGCGCTGCCTGCGATCACTGTATGTTTCAGCCCGCTGTACTATGAAGATGGAAAGAAGTCTTTGCTGTGATTAGCATACACTCAAACGACATCATTAATATTTATAAGGTACATGTGCACATCGGCCGTGCTTGTATTCAATTTTAGAAGCAATTTTTTCTACTGCTTACATTTGTAATTCAATTTTGTTGCCTTTGAAAAATGAGTAGACAAAGTAAGTACACGAGCATGCTTCTCTATGCTCTGTGATGAATTCCAAATTTTGCAGTCAAAACAAAGACAAGTATAAATAAATAAATAAATAAATAAATAAATAAATAAATAAATAAATAAATAAATAAATAAATAAATAAATAAATAAATAAATAAATAAATAAATAAATAAATAAAAAATAATAATAAAATGCAAGATAACACTTCATAGTACATCTATTTCCAATGCCAAAAGCCTGCAGTAGAGCCTGTTCCCTAGTACCAATTAGGGATACTAGGGAACATCTACAGGCTACGATGCTGAGGCTGCTTGTTGCAATGTAACAAATTAAGAGCACACCATATGATCAACCTTTTCCGTGAATGTAACAGAGCTATCTCGAAAAAGAACTACATAGTGTTGTTCTGCGGCAAGAAAGTGACCTACAGTCACGCTAACCCTTGCAACTTCTCTGAAACTGCGGTAAAGTTGCCGCTGTGTGGGTCTCATTTTCCCGTGCTCTATCGTCTGTTCTCTTCTGGTAGCCCAGTGTCCCTTCATTGAGACATGGTACACCTCAATGCAAAAAAAGTTTCTCGGTTCTGGTGTTATCAGCTATTTTTCCTTCTTTTTTTGCTTTTTGTACCCGTAGGGGATTCCCATCTTTGCATTCTTCGAGCGCATAACCACATCATGTGTCCAAGAATGTACCCTTAAATGGCAAGTAAAAATTATAAAACCATTTAAAGAAAACTGGAATTGAGACAGGCAGATTTTTTGACATTGAGTTATGTATGGATAAATAATCATTTGAGTGCTCATTTCAAGTTATTAGATCGATTAGATAACTATTTTATATCATTTTCTCTTCCTTTATTCTCACTTTAACGGCACAACCCATAATGAGTTCACTAAAAAGGTGACTCCTTTCTGTGTACCAGGGCGGAGAAGTTCGCGGGACGTCGCAGATGTACCGTTCTCCCAGCTTAGAGGCGTGCAACAATCGAACAAGGCTTTGCAAAGTGCTTCGACTGCTTCACGCTTCTCGTCCGCAGCATGATGGTGTCTGCTCTCTCTCGTCCGCTGTGCTCCTTCGGCTGAGCTCCATCGTGCTCAGTCTTTCATTGCCTCAACACAAAAGTGATTGCCTTCAACTTTAGCGTTCACTTTCCTTTTTTCATCACTGCCGATAAACTTGGCACCAATGCTTACATTATCATGGGCGAGGACCACCGATCCTGTGGCGCGCCATTAGGTTTACGAAGGTGAACAGGCAACCATGCTTCCCTTATTTAAGATAGCCCTCTAGTTCCCCTAACTTTCCTCGGTGAGCTATGGAAGAGGCTTGTGGCATTACAGAAAGCATTAATTCTCAAGCCATTTTAGTTTTTGGAAAGTCAAAGCAGATGGCTGAAAACGTTAGGACGCCAACGAGAGTCCCACTCGGTCACCTGCTGACATAGGAGTATTACCAAAACTAGCAGGTAAGCGGTTCTAGAGTTCATCCAGTAAACAAATAGTATGGTCCGAAGTATGGACGTAGCGCTTCCGCTCCACGGTTCAGGAATCCATTTCCCAATCGGGCCTTCCTAGACCAACTAAGCCGCTGGGGCCAGATACCTAAGAACAGACTTGCCCTGGAGGATAAAAGCATAGAATTCCACGATTCACATTTCCTCATCTTAATTTCATCTCGATTTCGCATAGAAATCGAGTGCATGGTCCATCTCAGGAACACAGGGATCTATTCAGTAATCCGGCTCAACTAAAATATTAGGTGAAGCTCTGCTGCCATTATTCAATCCCAATGAGTTGATGTAATTCGTCTGCTTGTCCTTCTTAGAGGCGATGTTATTACATTCGAAAAATTTGACGCAATCTTCAACTGAAGTGTTCCAATGTTCAAAAGGTGACATTTAAGCATACAAGTGCCTTTGGCAGCCTCTATGCCTTTATGAATAGCTGATTCACTCCATCGATGTCTTCATCATCAACTTCCCTTCAGCCCGTACATAAAAGCTGATGTAACTTCCGACAACACTGCCATTTCTATTAGAACTACCAAAGGCCTACTGTTCCGCGTCCCACGCAATCATTTCATGTGACCGTAGTCCACAGCGCTAGAACTGACATGCCTTAACAATTCAGTCATTCCAAAATGGAAGTCGTAAGTGCTCATTAATATGGTTATTTGTTAGTTTTTTTTACTTACATCTACATTAAATTACTTTTTTCACCTTACTGCCCTTATTCCTATCCGCTCAAATATTCCGTTATCAAATGCGAGTCACCTTTTTTTAAGATTTAAAGTCCTCTTTTCTGAACTATGTATGCATTGCAGACGACTGATCCCGCCGTCTCCAATACACTCTCTGAAAAGTTCGGTTCCCAAATTAAAGAAGAAAGATTGCATTTTAGGAAGGGGGGGGAGGATTCTCATGTCACTGTGGGCGGGGGAAATTCAAGTGAGTGAACCACTTTTAGTAATATTTGACACGCAGTCTCAGAGAGAGTAAGGGAGTCCAGGGAGGATGTGAGCCATTTGTGATTTCCCTGACGTTCCCCCCCCCCCCTCCCCTGAGCTTATGGTTAGTCGTAGTGTCACGCTATCGGTCCTGTTGTGAATGTCCCCCTCCCCCCCCCCGTTTAACGAAATGAGCGCCTCAAAAGGTTCTTTGCTCGCTTCATGTGGTGGGAAGGTGTAACCTCCCTCACTTTGAAATTCTGTTCAAACTAAGTATGCGCTTAAATCAGTATGAATCTGCATGGAAGTAGAAACCATGGCGCACGCCAGGGAGTCCAACTAGTGCTTTTTGCTTGCGAATGAATTACTGATTACACATTAAATTGAAGCAAATCTTCAAAAATCAGTTTCTTAGGTAAAAAAGTAATGGGTCGGTTGGATAGAAGTGAATGAAGGGGTTCTGAATTAAGCACTTGGACGGATCACCTAATTCAAGAAGTCCACTATTCGAGTAAATTTGAGTAAAAAATTCAATAATGAACTGAAGAAACCAGCGCTCCACGAGCTTCTTGCCCAGAACTAAATTTCTTACGAGAAGCAACGAAGGAATTGTACACAATTCTAAAGATGAGAACGACTGGAGGTGGCAAGACCCTTTGGAATGCGCCATGCTTGCGACTTCCATTCAGAATCTTGGGCACATTGGAACATGCACCTGCATTTCGCAATCAATTCCAGGCACATCAATGTTCAAGAGAATAATCATAGTATCTTACATAAGTTTGGACTCAATACCGGGCTATGCAAAGCCTGAACGGGTTAGAACTCTTGGGTTATAGCGCAGGGTTTTTGAATACGAAGTCTACTCATGCAAACCATGATCAAATAGACTTTGGTTTGGATGGGTTTCATTTCTAGCAGGAGGATTCTAGATATGTCCAAGCCTGAGTCTACAGTCGAAAAACATGAAACTTGAGCTTCAAGAAATTACATATTCCAGCGTTTCGTTTCCCAGTATCGATTCTAGTTCGGCTATGCGCTGCTATAAGAGTGTGATAAGCTGCAAGGATGATTGCACGGCTTTTTCAGCTCCTCATCCATTACCGCTGACGAATTGACAACTGCGCCATATGCCAGAGATAAGTGCGGTTTTAGCACGGATTTCGCTACAAGGCGGGCACGGATGTCTATAAATCTCGGATTGTCACTTCACATTTACTCATTGCATTAGTTTTTAGAGGTGGGCCCAAGAAATCGGGGTAATTTAGACAGCCAGTGGTGAGAAGTGGGGCTTGGTGCACTTCGAGGACAGAATGGGAACTCCTTAGTTCTATAGGATAACCTGGCTATAACCTAACACTTATGGAAGTTAGAAATTTTTGAGCACGCTGAGAGCCCAGTAGTCAGATTTTGAGACACATGTCCGCATTTTCAATCCTAACACGGAGCCAACAGAGCTGTGGAAGCCCGATAAAAAGAAAGCTTATAGATGAAGTGCCAAGTTGCCAAGTAGGGTTAAGTTAAGGTATTAGCACTGCAAGTACCTAACACATGCTCATAAGCGATTGCATTACAAGCGGATCGTACTTTAGGTGAGCCTTCATGGAGTACTTTATGTCACCAATATAGCCAAGCATGGTGATGAAGAAACTTCTCGAAAAGAAAATTACTCCTACTGGTATTCCCCCCTACTGCAGGTGGAGCCCAACACGAACCACTCGAGGCGCTCTTCCTAGTCGAAGTCCCATGTCAGATTAAGCCATTCACCTCACAATAACCTGCTCCAGTCTAAGACGGACAGAGTTCGAAGCAGTACTATAGACGATGGAAATTCTCGAATCCTCAAAAATTTGACGGAATTTCCTATTAGTAACATCCGTCAGAGAAAGCTCTTTTCAAGAGAAATTGCTCGAATAAGCTCATCACTCATGAGGGTCAATGTGAGATCTCCCACAAATTTCTTCAACTCACGCTTGACCATGACTACCAAAATCCGCTTACCAGCAGATAGTATAACCTTGTTTTCAGCCTTGTTGAGAGAACAGAGCCCAAAAGTGGCTATCTCGGAAGCTGATTAACTCTTCCAAAGCCTAGCTCTGAGCCAACCAAATTTTCGGGCTTTTTAGAGATTTACAACTTTTTACGAAGGTACTGTATACATTTGAATCCCAAACTACAATATTACTGCTCTAAATATTGCCAGCCAGAAAAATCATTTTTGCGGCGACAACTTTTTTCAAAGCAGCTCCATTCCATACCGTTGTCGAATGCATGGCGCAGCCCAAACGAGGCTGCTGAAGCCGATATTGTATATTTTGCTCTTTACGCTTCATTGAAAATGAAGACAGGGAAGTCGATTGGATAGTAAGCATCATTAAATTCGAACGGGGCAATAAATTAATGAAAATAAGCTGAAGCGCAAATTTTATTGAATTCTAGGAGAATCGGCTGAAATGAAGAGGAAGAAATTCGATGAAAACCAACGTAGGAGGGAATTTTTTTCGAAATAAAGTGGGAGTTTCACTATCCGTAAAAAATACAATTTAAGGCAGTCGCCGTCCTCATCAAATCAGTAATATTTTCGAAGGACCAAGTGCTGGTAATTTATTACCCATTGGTAGTGGGAAGTTGAGTAAAACTCACGGAAATCTGCAGAATAAACAGCGTTGTCAAGCAACAGAGCACGATGTTGGTCAGCGAGGCGGTCATCTATGGATGGCGAGCCGGCGGCACTCGCTCTCACCCTCTCCCACTCTATCGAACATCGATACGGCCCAAAGGCGTTGACGGAGAGCTATTCACATCTCATTCCTCACCTCACACTTTCCCTATACCGTAGCCGTACTCACATAATCATATAACCTCATCCATATCTATTTTTCCCATTGAAATACAGCTCGATTCGCAGCTGTTCAGCAAACAAAAAACGACAACCCGTCCAGCATCGACGTACGTTTGTCGCGCGAACGATGAAGGGGTCAATTCAACTGCGATGCCCTCCCAGCCATGCCAGCCAGCCGGCCAGCCAGCATCCGCTGATGAGCTCGTCGAATTGCGTGCGCTATGGCCACTTACCGTATGACAGTGATAGTTACCCGACCTTTAAGAAGGCGTCATTGCGCAATTCAAATAGCGGCTTAGCGCCCGCCGCTCGGCGCAACGCAAAAGGCGAACGCGCTGGGTGTGTATGTTCGTGAATGTCTGTGGTTTCGATTCAATCGACTCTTTTACTCATCGATTACTCATAGTGAACGTATCGGTCACCATCTTTGTACTCTCTCAAAGCACCCTTTGCTGATAGTTGGGTGCTTCTGGACGAATCTGAGCCAGCTCTGATAACGAGTTCACATGCCAGACTGCATTCCTGTGGCCTTACGACACAGTCTCGCATTCTTCATCCCTCACTCGATCTCTGTGTCTTCGCGTCGATCGATTCCGAATCGATTTGTTGTTTATTATTGTTGTTGCATTCCATGACCTTTACTATGAGACGGTGGGTATCTTTGAGATGTCCCGACGATCCACCCATCTCTGCACCTCTCGCTCCATCCCGTTCCGTAACCCCCGTGTCTGTCGGTGCGCGCATAGCAGGCGGGACCACTGGGAATATCCCTCGACGAGTCATATCGCATGAAGCGGTCAGGCGGTCTGAGGTCATGCTCAGCAGGAGCTGCAGCTTCAATGCGCACGCGATCATCGAATTGAGTATCTATCATCTCGATGGCCTCGATGATTTGCATTTTCCACTCCACCACTACCACCATTTCCATCACGGTACATCGACTGAATCATCGAATATTCAATGGTAATCTGCTCTGCGCAGCCCCACCGCCCCTGTTTCGGGCCGTTTTGCACTTTTTTCGTCGCCTCTTAAATCTTTAAACTCACGTCTTGTCTTCCCCCGACATAGCACGGCCTGGGCAGAGGTTGCGTTGAGCATGTCCACGTAATACCCCCATTTTAGCCCGACTTTTGTTCATCGCTCTTTAACTGACAAGTCCCGAAAGTCTAGGTGGCGATTCTTAGCTATCTTCACGTTTGACGATTTTTTTCACTATCGCGAACACTGTGAATAGTGCCGAATCGACATGGCTGCTATCTTAGGCGGTGATGAAGCAGCAAAATTCCCCATATATCATTTGGTTTGTTTTGTTTATGACTTATTGATAACTGGTTACCAGCGCTCCATCTCATATTGCGAATTCTTCCTTATTTTTGTTGATGTTGTTGCCCAAGTGTATGTTTCCTATGCTAAAGCTGGTCTGAAACATTACTGAGTGGAGTCGATTAGTACCAAACTTTAAAGCACTAATAAGCTGAACTCTGAAACAGTAACATTAAGTTTCCGTTGTATCTATTCTTATCGTGGTATTTAAGACCAATCGGCTCCACGCAGTACTGTTCCACTTTCACTTACGCAGATTCGCACGAATCTTTTATCTTTTAGCCATTCTTATAAACTAACGAAATTGTTTTTTTTACAGTTTTTGTTTATTTTTTAAATTTTATCGGGAATTCTAACCATTTTTCACTTTTGTTTGTCGGGTTGAAGCACAACATGCTGGGCCACTTCAATTATTGATCGATTTTTTCAGTGCTCACCAATTTTGAGTGCTGCTAACAGTTGTGAAAGCTTCTTGCTTCTCAGGCCTCTTCTATTTTTGAATTTCATTCAGGGCCTCATCCAGTAAGGGGGGCATGTGGTGTGACAGTTCTTGCCGGCTACAGAAATTCCAATTTTTGCAAGGGGAGGGAATCCCCGGGTGCGTGAACCATTTCGCTTAAACTTTTACACCCACCCGGAGCTTCCCTCCCCTGAAAAAAGTGGATTACTTCATGCAATATGAACTGTCACCACATTCCCCTCCTTACTGGATGAGACCCTTTATTCATTTCTATTCATTTGTGATTTTCCATTAATTTCTATTAATTCCCCATTCGGTAGATATGTAGGTGCGCTCTTAGAACTCCTTGAAGAAAAATTTAATTGAGCTAAAAATATAAGCACATAGAAACGAAACTTAAAGGGTCTGAATTGGTTTGTGGAACTTGTGCAGATTATACTTTGTTTCTGGCCTAGAATCACTATTGCCGTGATCTAGCCAAAGTGGGCGGTTTTTCGTTTTTTTTTTCGGATTTATTCTTTATTCTTTTCTTTTTTTTCATCATTTTGCATTTGCAAGTGGAGTGCAGTGTACTCGAAAACACTTGGCAAAGTATCGCTCGTCAGGTGGTTCGGCTGTTCGTTCGGGAGATGTTCGCTCATAGGCGTTGTTCAGGTGTTTCGTTATCAATTCAAGTGTTCGACTGAGAGGGCTCTCGCGCGCTGTCTTTTCTTCATCGTTTCCGATTTGAACATCGGGACATGGACTTTGAGATTCATTCACTCATTCAGGCGGCATTTCTCTCTACTTTAGTCTCTTTTTCTCTCAAATCCTCTTTCTCTTTCTCCCTCCCTCTCTCTCTTTTACTTACCCTTGCTCCGCGTTCTGATAATGGGAGTAACCTTGTGCGCGGTGACGGGGGCGACGCTGCTGACCACACGCCATGCCGACGCAGCCGCACACTTTCATTATCCTTTCATCTGTCGTTTCCTTTTCCTCTGCCCTTGTCAGTCGTTTTTCCTCCGCTCCGTACGACGGCTTCATCTTCCGTCGCATTACGCCGTTCTTAATGATTATTTAAGAGCGTTCGCTATCTCTCTCTCATTCGCTCACACACACACATCTGCGACATTTCGTGAGCATGAGCTCGTCATGACGTTGTAACAGTCGGTGCCTACGATGAATCATAACATGCATAAGCCGTGTGCATGATGCCCATCGAGCAAATATGGGCATCATCGTTCTCGGGTTTTTTGAGCGCTCAACTGCTGTGTAGTGGGGTTGCGAGGGCGCAGGAAGGAAAGGTATGGGAGAGGGTTCATGCCAGCGCCGGCCACTGCACACACCGCGACCTCGACAGCACCGGAGGAGGTCTCGCCACCTCATCGCTATTCATTTCTGTCGGTTCGATCGCTTGAAATTGTCCCGCATTCCATAGATAAGCGACAAGAAAGCGCTCCTTTAGCGCTTCGCTCCTAATTTAAGTGCGTCACATGGGCGGTGCTTATGCAAGACTGCGACAAAGTTTATGGATTTGATTGATTCGACGAAAGCTTGTACTTGTGCAATAAGCGAGCTGTGCCCTTTTTGTGTATATGTACTGTCTGTGGTGTAGCAATAGAGCAAAAAGGTTAAGCGTGTCCCTGACGCAGATAGCTTCACTGCGTATGATTTCGGGATTTCTGAACCAGCTGATACAGTGAGATACATGGAAATCAGACCGAAATGAGCGCGGGGGTATAGTTCGGAGGCGATTTCTGGTTATTCGGTTCGCCGCACCCATCTCTAATGGTCAGTCAACTGGTCGATGCATGTCGCGCTGAGTCACCGCCGAGCCTTTTGTTCCCGCCTTTGCGTCTTGTTACCCCTATCGGTCCCTCTCTTTTCCCCCACCCCCTGCTAACCCCTCACCTCACTCATACGCACACATCGCGCTTTTCGCACAACGATCAACTCGAATCGTATGCGATATTCGGAAAACAGACCGAAAATGTGCGTGTAAGTGTGTCTGTGATCATGGTGGAACACTCATTTGCTCGCATGTTTACACGGTGACTTTGTGTTGATAGTTCTTGTCGAGAAGTTGGCGCCGAACAACGTTTGCCATACAGCATGCCATCCCAGCGCCCCTCGTCTCACTAGTCAAGAGCACTGAACGAGCCGATTTTTTCATTGTCCTCATGAGTCAATACGACAGATGAGAGAGCAGTGGAGACGGTAATTGACCGGGCGACCGTGTCTTATGCGGTTTCTGTGGATATGCAATAGTAGGTGTGTAGCGTCCCTTGTCGTGCTGGCTGGTTGACGTTTTTTCGCTATTCCCTCAGCGATCACTCGTTCGCTCGCTCAGGAATGCAATCTGTCAAGGTCGTCCTCTCTTGTCGTTTTTAGCGTCGCTCTCGTAATTACTAAGTTTGAAAAAATATCATCGACATTTGCGAAGTTTATGGTTGGCTGGTGCCGAGTTCCAGTCGACTAGAGATGTCGTCGATGTTTGTGATTGGTGCGGATGATATGAGGACGAATGCTGATTGGTTGATGATTCAAACTGTGCCAGAGAGGCAGTGAAAAACCGCAGTGTGTTCCGTATTATCAGTTGTAGCTGTGTTGGAGCTGTTTTGCTTTTGCTGAATATTCGCCTACAATAAAGCGGTCGGAATTCGCAATGACTAACCACGTGATTGATGCATATTTTGACGGAGCGCGGACGAACAGTCATCGTGGCATGTCGACGGGATGGTCGATGGATTTCATTTTATACGAAGTCAATCGACTACTCACCGAGCTTCTGGCATGGCCGGCGTGGACCGTCCGGCTCCAGCGCCACCGACCCCGACTTCATTGCTTGGTGGCGGTGCTGTGGCACTCGGGCTGTGTCTGTGTGTGCTTCGCAGCTCATCACAGCCGGCGAAACACAATAACACTGTCGGCAATTCTCATAACTACCTCAAAAATAACAGTATGTTGATTGGTACTTGAATATGTCCACTCATGATTGTGATTCTCTTCCGGTCTTTCGTTGTTTCGTTTTTCTGCCTCTTGTGCTCGTATGACTAGCTTACCTCTATTTGCTCTTATCGTCCTCCTACTGTCGGACACATTTCTGCGTTATGTGTGCATATATATGCCACTCATAACATGCGTTTTGTTTGAAACTCGTCGTTAAATGAGATGTCGTAGTGAAATTGACAGAAAAGTGCAATTCCGTTCCCTTACAGCCGCACATGGAGGAGTCGGACCTTCGCTTTCTGCAGGTGCAGAGAGCGGCCGTCGCCGACCCAGCACGAGCCTCCGAGTGGGCTGGAAAGAAACTCTGCTGGGTACCTCATGAGAAGGACGGTTTCGTGGCTGGATCCATCAAGTATTTACCTTTCAACTTTGTCTTCTTGAGAATAAAGTAATATGAGCTGAGGTTTAGAAAAGAGACGAACGATGAGGTAATTGTCGAGATCTGCGATACCGGGAAGACGGTCACGATCAGTAAGGATGACGTCCAGAAAGCGAACCCTCCCAAATTTGACAAGGTCCCTCAATTTGATTACTTTTTTTCAATCTAGAAAATCACTGATCTCTTAAGGTAGAGGATATGTCCGAGTTAACATACCTAAACGAGGCGTCCGTTCTGCACAATCTCAAGGAGCGTTACTTTAGTTCTCTTATTTATGTAAGTTGAATTTTTTCACGTTCGTTTTTGAACTTATTTTGCATGCTGGCAATTAATTGTTCAGACGTATTCGGGTCTTTTCTGCGTGGTGATCAATCCATACAAGCGACTGCCCATTTATTCGGAAAGTTTGATTGAAGAATTCAAAGGAAAAAAGAGGCACGAAATGCCACCTCATATATTCGCCATTGCCGATTCGGCGTATCGTTCGATGCTCCAAGGTATGCGTACTGCACTCATTAATTTTTCTTTCAAATGTTTTCTGAGTCGAATGGCTCTTAAGGAATAACACCTTGGCGCCCTGGGGGGGGGGGGTGGTTTCTGGGCGGGACCATCGTAGTGCTTTCTGAGCCGCTGTTAGGTTTATGCCTGAGAACAGTCAATGGCTATTTTTAAGGCCGATGTCAGACTTTGCGAATCGCGCGATTCGCTAGCGTCTGCGGTCGCGTCGCGGCCAGTGAATCACTCAATTGGCTGGTACCGCAACGCGACCGCGGACGCTAGCGAATCGCGCGAATCGCTAGTAGCGAATCGCGCGATTCGCAAAGTCTGACATCGGCCTAAGACAGAGGAAATAAACTTCCAGGAGTTCATTGAAATTCTCTGATGATTAGATCCACGAGTTTGTTTGAAGCTGTGAAACGTTTTCCGGGAAAACCTCGCGAAGAAAGCTTTTCGTGTGCATTCGGAAGAGACGGAAGCATGCTCTAGCACTGAGACTAGGAGGGGAAGGAATTTTGGGGAATGGAAATCTCTAACGCATCCTGGAATTTCTCAACGCCTAAGGCTGACCTCGATTTTCACAGAAAAAGTTTTTTACCGGTTTCAAATGCGTTGTCATTGTAATGCCCCCTATCTTGCGATAGCGCTGGCGCCGCCTTTTGTGTCTACATATACCGCTGTAGGGTGACCTCTGCCAATGGCTACCCCTGAAGCTAATTGAGTGAGCAGTTGTTTTTGAACGTAACAGCCGCATGTAAAAGCATGTTTTTTGCAGATCGCGAAGACCAATCTATTCTTTGCACGTGAGTTTTTGAGTGTAATCTGGTGTTGGCAATCCATCTTTCGTCTCTGTGATTCATTATCCGGTAACGGATGGACAAATTCTCCATTTCAGGGGAGAATCTGGTGCTGGAAAGACTGAGAACACAAAGAAGGTTATTCAGTACTTAGCTCATGTAGCTGGTGCAACACGATCGAAAGGAGGACCGCAGCCAGCCGCCTCACCTGCAAAAGTATGAATAGAAAACAGGGTGATGCTACTGTAGGACTCCAAAATGAGCTTGAACTACAAATTTTTAGCGTTCGTTCGTGCTATATTTTGCGTCAAATAGCAGAGCGATAGATGCACAAACAAAGTTTTTATCTGGTGTTTGTTCAAGCTTATTCGGGAAGACAGATATAGTTCTAGAGTTTTTTTTTTCTACAAAATAGTTTCGATTACGATGAAACCGTTAACTGATCGTTATGCTTTTCTAGCACGACGTTTATCGGAATTCTATCGTAAGTTTACTATGTAAGAGTGACCTCTTATGTTCGTGTACGTACAGTTGTCATTGTTACCGTGGTTTTTTGTTACTCACCTAGTCAGTTGTCTTGGAAAAGTCATTGAACACACCTTAACCTTTATGCTCTCACAGAAGGCTTGTTCTAGAAGTCTTCCCTGCGATGTGGTAATGCTCGCACAAAACACCTTTTTTGCAGCTATTTTTTATTATTGTCTTCTAAGACGTTTTGTAATTTAGGGTGAATTAGAACATCAATTGTTGCAAGCGAATCCTATCCTGGAAGCATTTGGTAACAGCAAAACAGTGAAGAATGACAATTCGTCACGTTTTGTAAGTGGATATACAGTAATTGCTCGGGATTTTGTAAACTTTTGATAACTTTGATGATGTTTTTAGGGAAAATTCATTCGCATCAATTTCGATATGTCTGGTTATATATCGGGAGCGAATATTGAGTTCTATTTGCTCGAAAAGTCTCGTACTTTACGACAGGCACCAGAAGAGCGGAGTTTCCACGTGTTTTATCAGTTCTTACGCGGAACGACTCCCGCCGAAAAAGGTACAGTTGGTTCCAGAACGATTTTTTGGGATGTTGTGTTCAAATCTCCTTAGCGAGATTTTGAGGATGTTGTTAGTTTTTTTTTTCTGAAACTGAGGAGAGGGTTTCTGTTTCTTTCCTCTTACACGCTCCCTAGTGTGTATGTGTGAAGTGCACGTTTGTTTGACCTACAAGCGATCGATGACGCGAAGGTGTGATCAATATAAGGCGTTATTTATCGTCCGGTGTCTTGTTTGAGTGTGGCGACATCGTTTTCGCGCTTAGGAGGGCGCGTACATAAACAGACGGCGACATTTCTGAGCGCGAGGTGCGCGAGGGAATCCCGACAGTGGGGAGTCGCAGAGACTGTCACATCATCAAGGCTGGCTGGGCAAGTTGTGTCGTGGTCGCGAAGATCGACGAGGCAGGAACGTCGGTCGGTAGGCCCAAGTACATCGCGCTCTATCAAGATAAGTCGGTATCAGGTGTCCGAGGAGAGATATAGATGGACAATCGACCGCGCCCCGGGTCGAACGTGCGCGATCCAGATGAGTCACGATATGGCCCATCATATCGCGCTAAAACATGCGTTACGGGCGAGATATGCGTGATCATCAAGGGGATTCCGTTGCTGCGACCGTGAGGAGTCGCCCGTGTTCTACCGTTCTCTGATATACTGTGAGCCGATGTAGTTGCTGATTCGGTGAAGGGAAGGAGCTAGGGGAGAGCGTGCTGCGTTTGTGAGTTGTTTGTGGTCAACGATGCGGTGGCGCTATAGGTGAGAGATAAACAGAAGCAAACATTGAGTGGCGAGTGCGACGACAACCATTGGGAAAAAGATCGAGAGCACTTTCGAGAACGAAGGAATCGGAAACACAGAAAGAAGACCAGACCAACAACCGGATATGTTGACCGCCGTGCTTCGATGGAATCATCATCGCTATTTAACAGCAAACTCCTGAGGGATTTCGATGAGTGAATGTGCCCAAGAGGTCTTCAATATGTTTTTGCTGGTCTTTTGACGTCTCCGTTTTGCTGAAAGTTACGATTGCCCTCCCTGAAAAGTTCCATATCAGAGAGCTAAAAGGATGTTTAAGAGCACTAGCAAACTTAGCGCGGCATGATCACAAGCGTGTGGAGCGCGTCTGTTTTATTTGAATATCGACTTCACGGGGCACATTTCAAAAAGGCGGTTAATATCACGAATGAGTGCGATGCAGCAGTGTGCAGGGGAACCATTCGAAAGTTCTCCATAGCTTAAAAACAGCTGAAAATTGGCTAACTAGTTTTTCATTCACCTTATGTTAAGTTCCCGATGTTTCTGTTCATTCATTTGTGTTAACGGTACTCCTTGTGGTCGTACCTTACAGAGTTTTTTGCATTTGTACCGTATAGTTTTGCTGTTCTTCCTCAAACCCACTTCAAACTTGCGCTACTACTTGCAAGCGCGTCAAATTTCCGTACGGATCAGGCTCGTTTTGTTCGATTTTTGGCATTTTTATTACTCTTAAATGTCTGGACGCATCATGTTATCTGGAAACAATTCACCGATTCTAGTGGAATCGTTGAAAGGTTATGTTTTGAAAATAGTAAACGAAAAGTTGTGGAGATCAGCGCGCAACGGGCTGTCGTTAATGTGTAAATCGTTGTGCCAACGGCCACCTTACCCGTCCCAGGCCGTAAACTACATGCTTTTTCGTCACATAATGGTCATTTAAACGAATCAGTTGATTGGAAAAAAAGAACCACATTTGGTAGTGGCTTCGTAGTTTTCCAAATAATTATTATTTCAGCAACATATCTTCTTGAGGATATTGATAAGTACCGATTTCTGGTCAATGGTAATATCACACTGCCAAATGTTGATGATGCGCAGGAATTCCAAAGCACTCTCAAGTCTATGCGAATCATGGGCTTTGCTGAGGATGAGATCACATGTAAGCTTGATCAATGAATTTTAGAAAAAAAGTAGTAGTTGAGAAATGCATGCTTTTCAGCGGTGCTGCGTGTTGTATCAGCTACGATTCTTATGGGTAATTTCGAGTTTACACAGGAGAAGAAGTCGGATCAAGCGATCCTTCCCGACGACAGAGGTTTGCTTTTCTTTCTCTTTATGACTTCATGTTTTGCTTTATCTATTAGATCTCTTTATATTTATTATTTCCTTTAGTTATCCAGAAAGTATGCCATCTGCTTGGCTTGCCGGTAATCGAGTTGACCAAAGCCTTCTTGAGACCACGAATCAAGGTAGCATTATTTAAGTTGTTTGTATTTTTCAGGCCCCCTATCTATTATATTTATCGCTTACCTTAGGTTGGCCGTGAGTTCGTTAACAAGGCTCAGAATAAAGAACAAGCAGAGTTCGCCGTAGAAGCGATTGCAAAAGCGTCTTATGAGCGAATGTTCAAATGGCTTGTCAATCGTATCAACAAATCTCTGGACCGGACACGTCGTCAAGGAGCGTCCTTCATTGGAATTCTCGACATTGCTGGGTACGGTACTACTTGTCTCATTTACTATTGATTATTCTGGCTTTAACCGAGTAGTGGAAGCCATTGAATGCATGGGAAATCAGGCATCGTTGTCACCCTTGCCGCTAAGTGCATTTAGAATGCCACTTCCTTTAACAAAGATCCACGTTAGCTGACAGTATTTCATCTTTTGGGGCTTGAATGTCCCCAACTAATTTCCATCGGTACATGTACTTGATAGATTTCAATGTTAAACAGTAGCTAAACAAAGTGCCTCTTCCTCGATTCATAAGAAAACTGATTTATTGTTTTTATTGAATCTTCGTTAGATACAAAGTTAGAAGCAGGGTTTAGCGGGGAACATCTTGTGGTTGTTGCTCGTAAAGTTGGCTTGGCGGTAGGAAAGAATTGCTGCAGTGAAAGTAAACATTATAGCTGTTTTTGCTGGAACGTGTATCAAACAAATTTTCAAATCGTTATGACTGTTAAAGCTTTCAATTTCAGTTTCGAAATTTTCGAATTGAACTCATTCGAGCAGCTCTGCATCAACTTTACAAATGAGAAGCTTCAGCAGCTATTCAACAACACCATGTTTATTATGGAACAAGAGGAGTATCAAAGAGAAGGTGTGTGCTGTTTGGTGATGTGTTCGACATCATTTCACAGCTATTTATTGAGTTTATCGTTGATTACAAATGCGTTTTTTATGCTCCGTGATTGTGAAAGCGACTGGTGATCCTGGCCAGTTTTCCCATTTTGTCCCAGAATTTAGACCCGTGAAATAGGACTTGAATTATGGCTCATAATCCTTGGTATACGAAATTCTTGACACCTGTGCTGTTGGCAAACCTATGGTGCTTCGAATGGGCGATCTGGTCCCTGCGAACATTAGACTTCGGCCACGTAGTAAATACTATCATCTCCAACAGGGTATTATTGCTCTACGTCGGTAATTGATTTTTTTCTGACTGATGGATTCTGTTTTTCAAGCAGCCGCTAAGCTTTCTAAGCCTGTAGATAATTCTTTTAGCATATTATTTTGTTCGTGTTTTGTCGCATTGATTTTGGTATTTGTTCACCTTTGAGAAATTGCAGCTCGTTTTCATTTCGTTTTCGGGCCAAGTTTGGTTGAGTCATCGTCAGGGTTGAACGAATTAGTGTGCCCTATTTCGAAATGGTTTTTTTTTCTGAGAAGTAACTTCCGAAGACGTAGGAGGGACAAATGTAGTGTGAATCACCTCTGTAAATAAATAATGCGGTATCAATGAACACTCAATTGCGGGTTCTACCGTAGGGTCGTGTGGAGTGATGTTCGAAATAAATTTGGAAAGTTAGGCCCGAAAATTGACAAGATCTATATTGTCTTCAAAGGCAGGACACATTTTTGACTAGCTAGTTGACGCATGTTCTAAAAAATCGTTATCCTATAAGGGCTGGCACTCGGTTACTCTTGTGGCCGGCGATCTACGCCTAAACTAAATTTAGTTCAGTTATCTTTTCAAAATGAATTGAATTCCAAATTACTCCAAATGTTTAGGGATCGAATGGCAATTCATCGATTTCGGTCTCGATCTTCAGCCAACTATCGATCTTATCGAGAAACCTATGGGTTTGCTGGCGCTGCTCGACGAGCAGTGTTTGTTTCCGAAAGCAACTGACAAAACGCTCGTCGAAAAACTCCAGAAAACTCATAGCAAGCACCCCAAATTTATTGTCCCGGATATGCGTGCGAAGAGCGACTTTGCTGTGGTTCACTATGCTGGTTAGTAATTTTTCTTTCCACGTAGAGCACGAACTTATTTATTGCCTTTGTTCCATTCCCTTGCTAGTTACGTGTTGCGCGATTATCGATTGGCTTCTTTTGGCGTTTTTTTTATGTTCGATGGAAGTTTTTTTTGATAAGTGTTAGCAGTGGAAGCGACCCCAGCAGCTTCAACAGTTTTTGGCATTTTAGGTAGGGTAGATTACTCCGCTGACCAGTGGCTGATGAAGAACATGGACCCTCTCAATGAGAATGTGGTCGCGCTCATGCAAAGCTCGACGGATCCATTCGTATGCGGCATTTGGAAAGATGGTGAGTTGATTATTTTTCCAGTATCTGTCGTTTAGTTGCCATGGAAACTTGAAATGATCGGTTTCTAGCTGAATTCGCTGGTATCTGCGCAGCAGAGATGAATGAGACTGCTTTTGGTGTCCGTGCCAAGAAAGGCATGTTCCGCACGGTGTCACAACTTCACAAAGAGCAGCTGACACGTCTGATGACTACATTGAGGAACACAAGTCCTCATTTTGTGAGGTGTATAATTCCCAATCATGAGAAGAAGGTTCGTAATTGTGACACTTTGGCATAACAAGAGCTCCAAATGAGGCCACAGTCCTTTGGCCAAGGCGTGGGCAGATAGGATCAGCTTTCAATTTTGCAGGCTGGAAAGATCAACTCTATGCTTGTACTTGAACAACTCCGATGCAATGGCGTGCTCGAAGGTATTCGTATCTGCAGACAGGGTTTCCCCAACAGGGTGCCATTCCAAGAGTTCCGCCATCGTTATGAGATTCTCACACCGAATGTGATACCGCGCGGTTTCATGGATGGAAAGGAAGCTGTGAAGTAGGTTACGTGGTGTTCAATCCGAAATGACTTACGTTGGATTCTGTGCTTTCAGGAAGATGATAGAGTATCTGGAAGTGGATGCCAACCTTTACCGAATTGGTCAATCAAAGGTATTCTTCCGAACTGGCGTCCTTGCTCACCTTGAAGAAGAAAGGTAACCTTGCATCAGATGTTTTTGTTTTTCTCGTCAACGTTTTCTATCCGTCTATGTTCAGAGATTTGAAGCTGACGGATCTTATTGTTCAATTCCAAGCCCAATGCCGTGCATTCCTTGCCAGGCGTCTCTACGTGAAGAGGGTTTGTTGAGCTGCAGTGCCATTGTAGTTTATGTTCATAGTTTATTAACTCAAGTTCAATGTTCCAGATGCAACAGTCAAGCGCCATCCGTGTGCTACAGCGTAATGGATTGGCATGGATGAAGTTGAGGAACTGGCAGTGGTGGCGCTTGTTCACCAAGGTAATATTTAAGATCTGTTTCATCTCAAACACTCATCAAGCATTGGTCCAATCTCACACTTCCAGGTTAAACCACTTCTACAAGTCACAAATCAAGAAGCGGCCATTTCTGCTAAAGAAGACGAGCTCCGTGTCATTCGCGAGAAGCTGGAGTCTGTTGAGGCAGAATATCGTGACAGCTTATCGAAGATTGATCAGGTACGTACGACAGATCAGTTTTAGCTTTCGCAATCCAGATATACACTTGTGAATTTTTCTTCAACCGTTAGGCTAATTGTGACTCACTTCGAAAGCATTAAGTGCAATTGCTGCTGAGAATGCTTTTATACTGCCTTTCGGCTTCCATTCAATCTTGTGATTCATTGCGGCTTTCGGTGATTCATTACGCGAAATGTTAGGTGATGGCAGAGAGGAATGTACTGCAAGATCAGTTGCAACAAGAGACAGACAACAATGCAGAACTGGAAGAGGTTAAGAATCGGCTTCAGCTCAAGGTGCGAAATTACACGATTTGCTCCTATTTAACCTCTAGACATACTCCTGCTGTAATTTTGTTGAGTAGAATATCAATGTTTTTAGAAGAATGAACTGGAGGAAATGGTTAATGAAATGCGCGATCGTCTTGTTGACGAAGAACAACGAACGGAAAAGTTAGGACAAGAGAAGAAGAAGCTTGTTGTAAGTCATCGAATCACTATTTATGGATCAGTAACTTTATCCGTTTATTCTGATGTTTTTCCTGCATTTATCTTGTTGGGTTCAAGGAAACTGTACGGGACCTCGAGGAGCAACTCGAGCAAGAAGAGCAGGCTCGTCAGAAGCTCCAACTCGATAAAGCGAATGTTGATCAGCGAGTTAAGAACGTAGAAACAAAACTGGTTGATATTACGGTAAGTAGTTTTGTTTTTCTCGGAAATGTTGATTGCGAAGTTGACCCTGTTCAGATTGCTATTTTTAGGATGCTCATGACAAACTGCTCAAAGAGAAACGTATGCTGGAAGATAAGATGAATCAGCTCAATGTGCAGCTCAGCGAAGAAGAAGAACGAGTAAAGCAAGTAGCTAGGCAACGAGGAAAGGTACTTTTTTCTCTACTCGCGCTTTCCTCAGATTACTGATGTGTACTTTGTTATTGTTTTTCTTGTTAAGGTCGAAGGACATGTTCAAGAGCTAGAACAAGAGCTACTCCGAGAGCGGCAACTTAAGAGTGAAGTGGAACAACAGAAACGAAAACTGATCACTGAACTCGAGGACAGTCGTGAATTGCTAGAAGAGAAGCGCAATAAACTGGAAGAACTCAATGGGCAGCTAATGAAGAGGGAAGAGGAATTGTCCCAGGTGTTGACAAGGTGAGAACTGTGTTAATTGCTGTCCGCTCTGCGTTTCCTAGGGCTTTTATGGAAGTTCTAAGATTGGCTTCAGGTCCGACGAAGAAGCTGCGAACATAGCGCTCCTCCAGAAACAGATCCGCGACATGCAGACAACGATTGATGAACTTCGTGAAGACATTGAAACTGAACGAGCTGCTCGCAATAAGGCTGAGATGGCTCGCAGGTATGTTTATACTTCTTTTGTGGAGGAGCATTGATGGAGAAGCATTTATTTTAGGGAAGTTGTTGCTCAACTTGAGAAAGTAAAGGGCGACATGCTAGACAAGGTCGACGAAACGAGCGTTCTGCAAGATATCATGCGAAGGAAAGAGGATGAAGTCCGAGATCTCAAAGTGTGTTTTGTTGAAACAATATTTTTGCTTTGAACGCAGGCGCCCGTAGAGAAACTCTGTGTTGTGGATGTGCGAGTTTGAGCTGTGATTGGCTGGTTACCCATGGTCGTCAGTCACAGCCGCCAAAGGGCGCTACACACATTTTTGCTCATTTTGACCACTCCGCTGTTTATGATCTTTGTTCAGAAAGCTCTGGAATCAGCTACTCATGCTCTTGAGAACAAGCTCGAAGAGCAGAAGCAAAAGTACAATCGCCAAGTTGAAGAGCTTCATGAAAAAGTCGAGCAGCAAAAGAAGATCAGTTCTCAACAGGAGAAATTCAGACATCAGTTGGATAATGAGAGGGTGAGCATTCCATTTTCATTGTTGGATTTTTTTCAAAATTTACTTTCTGCCAACGAGATGCAAGAGAGACAAGTGGAAGTAGATAATATTAAATACATACAAAGAATCTTGTAGCTCAGTGTTGTTTCTCATCGTCTTCGTTTAGTTAGATGTGTAATAAGTTGACTCTGAAGGAATTAATTTTATTAATTAATTTAGGCCGAGTTAGCGCAAGAGTTGGCTACTGTCCAAGCTCAAAAGGCGGAAGCCGATAAGCGCCGAAAGCATCAGGAATCGCAAGTGCTGGATCTTCAGTCCCAGCTCGCTGAATGTGACGAACACCGTATGCAGGCGCTTGAGCAACTCGATAAAGTGGGTGATGGCTGATTTCGTTTACTTTTCGACCTTGCTTTGAATTTGAGCTGGTGACGGTATTTGTTATCTTCGCGCTATATGAATCCGTTTAGGCTCGTGAAGAGCTTGAGCAGCTCTGTCGTACTCGTGAAGATGAAGAGCAGATGGTGTCGAATTTGAGCAGGAAAATCGCTGCTCTTGAAGAACAGTTGCATGAGGTTACTGATCAAGTCCAGGTGAGACTTTTCGAAAAGTCTTTGAACATGTTGCTAGATATCCTTTTGCCAAGAAATTTAGTGCCCTGAGTTATTGATTTCGTCGATTCCTTTGAGGCTGACTCTTGTCGTCTTGTTTGATCAGTGTGCTTAAGCATTTAGCTTAATAGGTTGTGTTGATGTGGGTTCCGTTTAAGGTCGGCTGAAATCGTTTGGTTTCCCTGGGATGATCGATTTCCGAGCCTCAGTCATTTGCGTTTTCAGGAAGAGACCAGAGCTAAACTTGCCCAGATCAATCGCGTTCGTCAACTTGAGGAAGAGAAAGGAGCACTGCTTGAAGAGAGGGACGAGCTTGATGCTGTTCGACAGCACATGGAACGCGTAAGTTGTATTTTTACAAGGTGTCTGCTCCTTTTTTTTTACAGTCCCCATGATTTTCAAATGTTTCTGCTTCTTTTGATGGGATGTTTTTCTAGGACATTATGACGATACGCCAGCAGCTTGTCGAGGCACGAAAGAAAGCCGATGAGGGTGTAATGCAGCAAGTAGAGGAGATGAGAAAGAAGGTTAGAGATGTTATAATGGGACTTGAATTTTTAATTTTCTTGTTTGTTTTGTTTCTGGATTGAGAAATTCGAGGAATGCTAACTTTGTCCATTCAAAGTATCCACGATCAATGTCACGCAGTTGCAGCTTTTCAAAGTTTTGACCAAACCTTTTAAGGCTCAACGTGACTTAGAGAACTGTCAGCATCTGCTTGAGGAGAGCGAACTCGGGAAGGAACGTCTCATGCAAAGTAAGAAAAAGCTTCAACAAGAGGTCAGTCATTCTAATTTGTGAAAAGAAGAATAGATTCGCAAGGCATTCGTTTTTTAGCTCGAGGATGCTAATATCGAATTAGAGAACATTCGTACGGCTTCTAGAGAAATGGAGAAGCGACAAAAGAAGTTCGACATGCAGTTGGCCGAAGAACGAGCCAATGTGCAAAAGGTTTACTTAGTTGTTTATCCCCGCTTTTATTGTAAGGTATTCAGTACTCCGCTGATTCTCCATCGGTTTTGCTTATTGGCAGTCTGTGATAAGAAGGAAAAGCTTTGATCGCGACCGTTCTCTTGTCCTTTTATTTACTTTTCCTTTTCAGGCGATACTTGAACGTGACGCCCACGCACAAGAGTCACGCGATCGTGAAACGCGGATTCTGTCGCTTGTCAATGAACTCGAACAAATGAAGGCATCAATTGATGAGACTGAACGTGTTCGTCGTATGCTGCAGTTGGAGTTGGATGAATCGGTGCGTGTTTTTCGATGATGCGTACTGGGGCATAAAATCATGAAGAGTAGCGAGTAAGTTCTCCTCATGACGTACCTGTTCAACCTGCTACATAAGGCCGGTAGGAATCAAGGATTTATGTCTTAAAGCAATTGCGAGGACCGATGTTCTTCTCTGTCTTTTTCAATTTGTGTCTGTAAATTTGCGCAAAATACTTCGCGAATTGCAGATTTCGTCCAAAGATGACGTTGGCAAAAGTGTGCATGAACTGGAGAAAGCGAAGCGTCAACTCGAACAAACGGTCCTAGAGCAGAAGGCTGCGATCGAAGAACTCGAAGATCAGCTCGGTTTTGCTGAAGATGCGAGGTGAGTTTTCTGGCCTTTTTTCAAAATCATGTTACTGAATTTTTTTTCCTAGGCTCCGTCTCGAAGTGAATATCCAAGCCCTACGTGCAGAGCAAGATCGTAATTTGACTGCCAAAGATCTGGTTAGTAGTTCCGCCGATTCAAAATTTATCTATTCTAATAGTTATGGTCCGAGATGGAGAGCTGCTGGTAGGGCCGTGCTTACCAAAGTCACAGTGCCCCATGCATGACATTAGGTACCTGCCGCAGTTACTCTAGTCCTACGAATAAAAATACTATTGCTTTTATGTTTCGATTACTGTTTCGTAATTATGGTGAAGTTCGTCATTCAGTGTAAATGGGTATTTTTTCGGCAGTATAGGTAGACAGAATAAATCTGATTATTTTGAGAAGAAGTCAAATGAGCCATTACCGTCTGCGAAAACGTTCACAATAACGTTCCTGGGCGCTTTCTCAAGATATGGGATACTGCGGCGGCAAGCATTTAAACCATCATACTCAAATACTTTTTTGAAACGGTTCTAAATGCGTTAAAAAGAAGGGAGGGTAGATATGTGAACGGGACCAAGCCTTAGGCGAGGGGAAAGACTAAGGGCGTGTGAGCAAGTTTCCTTTTCCTTGAGCTCCTTCCAGTTTCCTAGGCTTATCCGGACTTAGTCCTGGGTATACTCCCGTATCTTGCGATTAGTTCGTGTTTCGTAGGTTGTGAGTTGAGACTATGGGGGTACTTTCTCGCTTCAATGTCGTCCTTGGTGTCACTCATATGAATGCAATCCAGGAGGCCGAGGACAAACGTCGAAGTTTGGTGAAACAGTTGCGCGACATTGAACAAGAACTAGAAAATGAACGTCGTGGCAAATCTGGCGCGATCAGTCAAAAGAAGAAGATGGAGGCTCATATCGCTGAAATCGAACAGCAACTCGATGTAGCGAATCGGCTCAAGGTCAGTTATTGTACTTTCTCGTTAACTTTTTCTGGATGTTGCCTTCGTTCGGCCGTCCCGTACGTTTTCGGAGTTTAAAAAGGGATCGAAACCAATCTCATTCTAGGATGAGTACAACAAGCAGCTAAAGAAGAACCAGCAAATGATCAAAGAATACCAACACGACAGTGAGGAGGCTCGGCAGATGAAGGAAGAAATCGCATCGCAGCTGAGGGATATCGAGCGGAGGCTGAGGTAATAATGCTTTCGATCCTAGCGCCTTGCGAATTTTCAGTTTAAGACGCATGAAATTTGCGAATTTTGCCAGGGACTGATGCTTCCCAGCGATCGTCCAATGAGAAACTGTCATTGCGCATTGTGAAACATTTATAACGTGCTGTCATTTAGATGCCGTATTTCTTCCACTACTGATGCCATTTCTCCTGCTCTTCCTTATTTATGTCGAATTTAGATCCGCTGAAGCCGAGAATCAGCGCTTGTTTGAGGCTAACGAGATGCTCACTTCCCAAAAGAGACAGCTCGAGCAGGAGAAAGACGAGCTGGAGGAGCATCGTGGCCGAGTACGTCGACGGAGTAATTGCTGTGTAATGCTTGGTTATATCCTGGACCTGTTATAGGGAGGCACATTCTCATCGGAAGAGAAACGTCGTTTGGAGCAGAAGTTGGCACAGTTAGAAGAGGAGCTGGAAGAGGAGCAAAACAATGCCGAGATAGCTATCGATAAGCAGCGGAAGGCACAGCAACAGGTCGATACTTGATATAGAATTCTATCGCATGATTGAGTCAATCGTTGATGACTGCTCGAATTTTAGTTGGAGCAACTCACCACTGAATTGTCGATGGAACGATCAGTATCTCAGAAGTCGGAAGCCGAGCGACAAGGCCTAGAGCGTCAGAATCGTGAGCTGAAAGCAAAGGTACATTCCAAAACGAGGTTAAGGTCGACGTTGGTTCTTTATAGTTTTAACGAATTTTTGCTACCTGTAGATAGCTGAACTCGAAAGCACAGCACAGTCACGAGCTCGTGCTCAGATAGCTGCTCTTGAAGCGAAAATTCAATACCTTGAGGAACAAAATAGTGCAGAAAGTCAAGAACGACATAATGCAACGCGGCAGTTCAGGTGAGAAAAACGACCCCTTTCATTGTTTACCTTGTTTGCATTTTGAAGTGTTGTTTGATTGTTTACCGTGTTTGCATTCTGAAGTGCATCAATTAGTTGTACACTTTTGTAGGAGAATTGAAAAACGCCTTCATGACACAATTCTTCAGCTTGAGGATGAGAGGCGAAATGTGGAACAGCAGAAGGAAATCGTAAGCAATTATATACATATTGTTGATTTCGATTTCTTTCTTATCCTCTTTTTTTTATTCGGAAGGTCATGTTTTTGTAGTGGCTTGAGTTTCTGACTCTAGATGAAGTCTTCGCGCCCGCAATACATGGTATTTTTGCACGCGGTCGCGGAAGGGCACACGGTGCAGGGCTGCGCATAAGGTGGGAACAAGCAGGATGTAATGGATCTTAGGCTTTCACGTATCCCGAATAGGTCCACTGAAGCGTTCACCATAAAGCGTACAGAAAGAGACTACGCTTTCGCATAAATTATAAGCCGGTGGTTTCATGTCGCATATAGGAGCCGCTTCGAGCTTTGCTGTCTGTCGGACCCGTTGCCGGGCGTTTTAATTTACATACCAAACAGCAGGCTTTAATTTTTAGTCAGCCACTGATTCAGTCGAGTAGGGGGTAGTTTTGCTGGGTGACTCACATTTTCGACCGCTTCACTAAGGGTGGATGAAAGGCAAATGTCAACCGGTGCTGAATAACTTGTATGTGTTCATTAAATGCCGTTCCTTTTGCAATACTTTGAGAGATGGCGTGGATGGGCAAGGGTAGGGGCAGGAAAACTCAACAATTCTTTTTGAAATTTGTTTCCTGTTGTCATTTTGACGTGTTACAGGCGGAGAAATGTAATTTGCGAGCGAAGCAAATGCGTCGTCAGCTCGATGAGCAAGAAGAAGAGATGACCCGAGAGCGTGCGAAATCTCGAAATCTCCAGCGTGAAATTGACGATCTCACTGAAGCAAACGACACGCTCACACGAGAGAACAACAACTTACGGTAGGTAGACAGTTCTAGTCGTCATGAGTAGTGACTGTTGATTTAGTTTGAATTCCTTTTCTGATGAGATCTGGCGAAAGACAGCTAGCTGATAACTCAGTTTTAATCGCTGAAGCTCGTCTGACATCGCGTCATTAAAGGAAATAAGGAGTGCGTCATTAATAGTGTACAGTGTTTCCAGCGGTGGTGCGGCTAGGAGAAATCGTGAGAATATTCGGCTCCGATCGGCATACCAAATACCCGGATCTAGTGACAATTTGACTAGAAACGACGATGAAGACGGTAGCATAGGAACTGAAGGTGAATCTGTTTCCTAAACACAGTGTTCGTCCATGTTCTATGGACATTCACTTCGAACGACAGCTGGCTTTTTATATGATACGCATATAAGAACGGTACTGTAACGCTTCTAGTTACCGGTTCCGATCATACGGACGAGCTCAAGAAGACGGCCGTCTAGCGCTCTTTGTGGTGCAACACGCGTCGCTTTCCTTCGTATGCAGGTTCTTATCCACGATTCAGCTGCCTTCATTGTTCATTTTCATGTTTTCAATTCTCTGTCCTCTCTCTCACTTACTAGCTGGGTACTATATAACTTAATCAAAGCTCCGTGTATAATTATAATACCGTAATGCATACATACACTGTGTTGCGACGTGAGCGTTAATGTGCTGCCCGTGCACAGTGTTCGATAACTGTCGCCGAGATGATGACGCTGTCTCCGACGCCTTATGTGAAGACTTAGTAGTATTGTTTCATCTGAAATCGCCCTTATATAGTAGATAGCAGAAACCGGTGTCTGCGCCGCCTGTCCGCAATGTGTCAGAGTGCTTTTTCCTCATCTTTGGTCCCTCCTAACTCGTATAATTATCAGCGCCTATCGATTGTAGTAGTAGCGCTATTTTGTTGTATCTGATTTCAATATAGCGATGATGATTCCGCTCTCCTTGTGTCCGCCCGCCGCCCGCCTTCTTAAGGAATTTTCTGCCCCTATACGGAAATAGTTTTAATGTTTGCAATGTTTGTTTTATATGATCGATGAAATATTATATCTTCTATATGTGTAGCGAAGGCCGGTGTTGTGTGTCGTGGCCACCAGATCATAGCCCTCCTCATCGTTGTCGGTCGTTTTCTTAATCTGTCTCTGTTGCCCGCGCATCCGTTCATCCTTCCATACCTGTCTCCTCTGACGTCTCTATACCTTTCGTCCACGTGTGTGATATGCGTGGAAGCAGTTGTCATAGAATAGTTGATCAAATTTTATTCGTTGTGAAGCGACAAGGCGTCGTGACACTCACTAACTGCACATTCCTTTTTACGTTGCAACGTTAACGGCGCTTTATTTATCCTTACTTGTTCACTTACGAATACATTGTGCTGATTCACGCTAAAGAGTAATAAATAATTGAAATAGTTGTGAAAATCGAAAATGCATAGATTGGTAGCACTGAAGATTCAGGACCGATGGCATGAGAGGGCAACAGGAGGACGAGACACGGATATACACGGAGCTTAGGGACAAGTCGGACGGTTTGAGACGATTCCGGGAGGATGTACCTGACTTATGTACGTCAGACGTGGATCTTAATCAGGGTGAATATCGGTCGAGGATTCCTCAACGGCTTGTCGAGGATTTTCGCCTGATCAGTTACGCTCTCCCGCGCGGACATTCACACTCGCCATGCGCGAGCCGTCTGTGCTCTCCGCGCGTACGTTCACTCTCGGCACTACTCTCGCATGGTAGAGAGCTATGGTCGAGGAATTCCTCGACCGTTATTCACCCTGATCTCGTACATCACCTCTAAGGTCAACTGCTCTCATACCCAGTGCGTTGTCCTTCAAGGCACTGAGTAACTGACCTTGGAGCTGTAGAAGCTCAACCCGGACGGCCTTTTAAGTCGTGCAACGTTTTTGCAGAATGGTTCTCTGCACTGTATAGGGAAAGACGCATGGAACTTCGAACTATGCTTCGTTTTGCTCAAGCAGCTGTCTGAACGTCGAAAAAGGGATGAAAGGTTGGTTCAAGGTTCAATTCCCGTAGTGTCAAAGTCCCGCATTTTCGACTAGGGTTTGTATGATGTCGCAGAATGATACCGGCGCCTAGAAATGGGCATATGACCCGATTTTAGCAGACCCTGGTTTCGAAAAGTTATGAGGCTCGAGCTTTTCAATCCCGTTTTTGACATTCAGAAGGCCACCGGGCAAAAAGGTCATAGTTTTGTTTCATACATTGCGCCCATCCTCATCTTCTTTTTTCCTTAGCCTTAGTCCCGCGCAGTCGCAGGGTCCGCTGTCTTTGTCAGTCGTCGCCACTTTAATCTGTCCTAGGGCGTCCTCTGCTGTGGCCATGACTTCACTTTTCACTTAGGTCCTTCTTGATCACTTCTCTCCACCTCTTCCTTGATGCCCCTTGCCGGTCTCTTATCTTGCGTTTTGAAGTCTGTCGCTTGCTCGAAGGAATGGCAATATTTTGGCTGTCTACGAAAAGGCGACCAAGAAAAGGTAGGATTCATTAGAGAAACCATATCCGGAAAAATTGATGAGTTCTAGCAGTATCTGCCGTCAAAAGACCATTCTCTTAGAGCCTAAGCTGTGGTAAATACGAGGGGGAATTTCATAGTGTTAGATGCAATTTTTAAATAGTTCTTGTTGGTTGTAGGACTCGTATAAGGGAAATTCAATGCATTCCCCAAATGAATACATCAGTTGTAGTCACTGCAGGGTGTACAAATTTCGCGCAAGAACAATCAGTTTCCGAAGAGAAATCTACGAAACCACGTTCTAGGGACGATCGCGGGTAGGTGGGGCGGAGACGAGGGAACAAAAGGAAAAAATGCGCCTTGGGACAGCCACGTATCAGGCGACGCATTGAAATAGTTGGGTCAAAGCGTTCGAAATTGGCGAAGAGAGAAAAAAACGATAAAAGAATAGGATGCAGTAGAAAATAGATATTGCCATAGGTGGAAAAGGCCAACAGAAGGCACTTTGAAAATGAAGTGGAATCGCTCCTGTCGCTAACGTTCGTGACAAATGTATGGCGGGACTTGAACGTGTAAAGTTCTCTTTCTTTCGTTTTTGAAATGTTCACTACAGACGCATTTTTTCTTCTTTTCGTTCTTATCGTAATTGAGGTCTTTCAAACCAGTTATTTATAGATAAGGTAGAATTCTGACTTTTCTATGAACGATCCCTAAGCTAGTTCATAGAAAGGGTCCTTAGGCTAGTTCCGAAGAACTAGCTAGCATGATAGAAGGGAGTCAATGGTGGATCGAAGTGCTGTTTTAAATGGAATGGTTACCATTTGCGTTTTCGGGCGAGTGCACAGATCTAACCTGCTCAAATGTACTGTATTAGGAAGAAATTCGCTTTTTTAAACTAACTTTAGGAGCACACCTCAATGACCAAATCTACGAGAGGCGCAAGGGAGGGCAATGTGTCTCGATAGCTGAACGGATATCTGATTCTTATTTCGTTCGTCGATTAGTTACCATATACGAACGGCCAATGGTTCGAGTCCGCGGTGGAGTTGGAACTGGCGATTCCCGTTGAAGTCCTCGGAAAGAAACTCGGCTTTCCTACCAGTATGTGGCATTTGAGCAGTAGCGATCATGGATGCACTGCTGATCACAACTCACACTGAAGCTGCAAAGGTGTTGACCTCACATTTTTACCCACTGATGAATTACCCTTCTAGCCAAGCCACCCATGACACCTTACAGGAGTTATTTTGTGGGGGACCCGACGGGAGGCCCGTCTCGCAGAGAGAAGGCAGAGACGCGGAGAGTCGCAGCGCGTACTGTAGTGATTGCGCGTCGATTCGAATGGAAACTTGTAGTACCATAGTACGTCCACAGCACACAGCACGCGCTGTGATTCGTCCACGTCTCTGCTCTCTCTCCGCGCGACGGGCCTCTTGTCGAACACCTTATTGCGTGAGCAACCACATCTGGTGATTCACTAGCAGGCGACGCCTTGACTCGCAAGACGTTCTCATTGGTAACCAGAAATAAGGTTTCGATTATAACGGTCCAACTGCGATACCCTACCTTGTATTCTACATCGGTTTCAATGAGAACCTTATTTCTGGCTTCTATTAGTACCGACATGCGTCTAGTCAGGATGTAGCCCACAATTAGCCTGAAAGGTGCTTGTTTTTCGCTTATTGCGAACCTTGAAAGCGAAATACAGCCCAAGCGGTCCAGAGCATTTGAAGTACTGCGAAACAAATACTCACAAAGAGCTAGTTTCACAAGAATGCTGGGTTGTGAACAAAACTTTCGCCCCAGGCGGGACTAGAACCCGCACCTCTCGCTTTCCGGGCAAGTGCGCTACCAGTTACGCTACCGGGGCACCATTTCATTCCAACTCAGCTTTTCATGGTATATTTACCATAGCTTATCAGCACTCACCCGCCCAAGTGGCTAACCGACTCACCACCAAAATGTGGTGAGTCGGCTAGCCAGCCGACTTCGGCGGTGAACCGCGAGCATGAAAGCTCAGCCACTGTTTTCGAATTGCTTTGTGTAACCGCTGTTTTTGGCTGCACCTCGCCTTGCGAAAGTTCCACTAGAATGTTGGGCTAATCAAGGCTTTGAAATTTTGGCTATAGAGACGTAAGGGTAAGTCGCATCAAAGCGGAAATCAACGGACAAGAAGAAGTTTATTTTCTACGGTCTGGACCGTTTCTCATGATTTTTTTCATCCCTGCACCACTGTCCACCTCTACTTTGATTTCTATCGGTTGCTTTTCTTTGTAAACTCCGCTTTCAATGCGAGTGAAATGGCTGCCCATTGGAAATGAAAGCAGTGGCTGGAAAAAATCAAATGGTGAAGGAAATTCCGAAAAAAAATGGCCCGGCCCTCGTGGAGTGGGAGCTTCTTGCTCGCTATTACCGCTTTAGACGAGCCAGCTCGCCTGCACGCGTTGATCCCAGTAGCCAACAAATCATCACAAACATCATCCTTTGATTGGTAACACATTAACTAGCGAAACTAAATGAGTTCAGGGCTGTAGAGTGGCTGATAGACAGGCACTCCGAGAGAAGCTGGGCGCTGGATGAAATATGACAGACGGAAATAAGAGAGCGTGATTTGTAACACACATTAACTAGCGAAACTAAATGAGTTCAGGGCTGTAGAGTGGCTGATAGACAGGCACTCCGAGAGAAGCTGGGCGCTGGATGAAATAATGACAGACGGAAATAAGAGAGCGTGATGTGGCGTGAAACACAGACACCGCAACAGTGGGCGTGTATGGTTGCTGGAGAAGTCCATTGTTGCAATTTCTGAGACCCTGTTGCCCTTTACAGCGTTTTGAGTTACGAAAGGAGCCCTTTTTCTGATCTGTTAACTCGTCAAAGTTGTTTCTAGGAGGAATCTGTGCAATGATTTTATCGCGGGATCTGCATTTAATATATAGAGAAACCAGATCTGACTTGAAGAAAACCATCAGAAAGTACA